CATAGCAGTTTCTCCTTTTTCTTTATTGCTGAGGAAAAACTGCCACAGCTGAACTTTTGCTCAATGTTACTTTTCAGAAACCAATTCCATATATCATCACACCCACACACTAATTTCAAATTGGTGACAAAACATGCTCCCAGACACCATTATCATTTGCGCAGTATTCTTGCCCTTCATTCAGCCGCATCAATTTAAAGGGCAGAGATATAAACCTCTGCCCATTCTCTGTGTGTAAGCTGTCCGAGTTAAAGCTCGCCCGGTCCAAAATGACCAGGGATCTCACCATCCTTTCTGAGCCAAGGGCAGACATCTCATGGTTTTATGACAGAGGTAAACCTGGCCTTCATAAATACTTCATGCACTGTTTTCTTCCAGCTGGCAAAAGTGAGCAGAAGAAGCTGAGAGCAAAGGTGAGTTCGGTAAGGACAGAAGTACATATTTTTGCAGATAAGTGAAAGCATGGAAAGAGGGAATGGAGTAAACAACTGTGGGAAGTGCATAAACAAAAGAACAACATCTCAAAATGCTTTCCTCCTCGCCAAAGAGGACTTGTTTCTCACATGGTTGCAGATGTTGAGGAGACATGTGGGAAGCAGGCATTTGAATTATGCTGCCCTGATTTATGCATAAAACGTAAGCATTTCTCTGTGTGCTTGTGTTTACTTCTTTGTACATAATCACTTGCGCGTCTGCTCTGTGTAAGTGCAGATAGTGTGTGTGGGTTGTGTGTTACCGAGTGGAAGTGCAATATACACTACATTATTTTCAGTTCGTCCTTTTTAGAAATAGCAAAATCCCAGTCTCATCTGCTCTATTTTGAGTGTTACAAGGACACAGAAGGCAAAGCTTTGGCTACATAAAGTATATGTAGTTTTAAATAATCTGCTCTACTCCTTCCTTAAATGTGAAGCCAAGCAACGGCAAAGCAGCATTAGCAGTCATTCACACGCTTGCTGGCTTCGCAAGTTTTGTAAAGCAAATGTCATAAAAGCATAAGGCCGGGGAAATCTGATTTATTGTGGCTATTGAATCCTCAAAGTTTGTCAAACTGATGTGGAGGAGAAGTGCGCTTGACTTCTTCCTCTTCTTTTATCGCTGAAAATCTATTCATTTCTTTTCCTTTCATATGGGGTGAGAGAGGGATGATCTCAGGCTAGGGTGGCGTTCACGAGGGAAATCAGACTAATCATTGCTGCCACCTAAAACTCCCAAATTCCCCAAATCAACATGACACAGTGTGATTTTCTAATGTGTGGTGATGTGTTGACGGATAACTGTTTATTTAGGAGCGATGTGGGGAAATGCTTCTTGCCCCAGGGGGATCTGCGAGATTCAGTGAGCAGAAAGCACTAGTTTAAAGAAAAAAACCAAAAAAAAAACACAGCTCTTATCATTTGGCTCGTGTGTCACACTTACTGTGCTGCGATGCTCTTCTACCACAGCTTCCAGTCAGGGCCCACAGTGGCAGGTTTGACACTGAAGATCTCGTCACAAAGCTGAGCTCAGACTGGTCTAACCCAGCAACAGCACATCTGAGTGCAAAACTTGCGTGACAAAAGTCATGAGAGTGTGGACTGTGTATTTTAAATGGCATGCTATCCCTTTACACTGCTTTTACTCTCGCAGTTCCAGACTACGGTTAAAAATAAATGACTTTGCCTTAGTCCGTGGAAAATACAAAGGCTAATGTCTGTAATGCCATGCATTTGAAGCAAAGGTTCTCAAACTGTGAATAGCATGTGAGGTAAAGATACTGCATGAGGTGAAAAGTGCATGCTGATGTACTACAAAGTACAAGAAGATGGTTCTTGTAACTTGGGCCGCTCACTTACACAGTCAGCGGCTGGAGCTTCAGCAGTGGTTGTGACACGGAGCTCATGGAGACGACTGAGCTACTTAAAAAAACCACAGCACCCAATTGTTACATTTTGCGTCAAAAATACAAAGTTCTCTGACTCATATCTCAGTCAAATTTCTCAGATGTAATAAACCTATCTTTAGACTTTCTGAAGATATCACTATCTCCGACGTCCGCCGCAAACAAACCTTTCCATAAATTCTCTTGATAGAATAACAGAAAAAAAGATGGTCTTTAAGATTCCAGAACTTGCCTGAGAAACATCAAATTTTTAAGTTGTCTTCAGTATCAAAGTGATTGAGTGATGAGTTGTCTGTACATTCATGGGTAGGGTGCAAACAGGAACTGCTACCAGATCATTCGGCATTGCACTAATCAATAATGCCAATCTGCTAAAATGTTAAAAAAAATATAGGCAGAAAAACTGGGCTCAAGTGGTATCCCACAGTATAACTCACAGAATCCATTATACTTCCTGTTTATGTTCCACAAAACATTATGGGAACTGTAGTGCCCATAACTGTAGTTTTCCCCACTCTCTATTCCCACTTGAGTTTTTTATGCATATTGCGTTACTGTTTTTCAGGTTGTCCGTCCGTACGTATATGTCCATCTGTTCCATTCTCATGGACACAATATCTCAGAAACACCTTAACGGAGCTTCTTCAAAAAATTGGCACAAACATTCACTAGGACTCGAGGATGAGCTGATTAGATTTTGGAGGTCAAAGGTCAAAGGTCAAGGTCAAGGTCACGTGACCTCACCAAACGCGGTCTTGGCCTTGTGAATGCAATATTTCTGTAACGCCTTGAGGGATTTTCTTCAAATTTGGTCAAAACATTCATCTGGGCTCAAGGACAAACTGATTAGAATTTGGTGGCTAAAGTTCAAAGTTCAAAGTTCAAGGTCAAGGTAACCTTGGGAAAACACTTTTTAGCCATTACTCAAGACTTCACACAGAAATTATGACAAATTTTTACACAAATGCTTAATATTTTATATGACTCTGGATAAACAGAAATTACTCTGCGTGGCGGAGGCATACAACTGCGTGGCGGTAATTCTAGTTTCTTTAAATGACAATATTAATGTTACTAAACACAGACACATGGGACGATTGACAGCTGTAGAAATCCTGTCTCTACCAACCTTCCCATATGATGTGATCTTGACTTTGAAGGGCTCCGAGTCGCTCTTGGACTATTAAAGCCGCTTATTTTAAGAGTTATTTCTAATATACAACCTTCAGATGGTATCAGAAACGTAACCTATAACACACCCATTGTGTAACACAACACTCCAAGTAACATTGATTTGAAATAACTATGACAGATTCAGCTCGAGAGCAATTTCAAAGACACAGGTTAAAGGTAAGCTATACCTAGAAACTGTGCTCTGTGTGCACACACACACACACACCCATCCACACACACTGTGCATCTGTGTGTTGTGTTTAACGAGGTCCTTTTTCATGCTCATTTGCATCCCCGACAGTGACGCCATTATATTGTCACATTTTCTAAAAATAACCCTGATTTAATAATAACCTGATTTAATAAGAGGGGGAAGGAGGAGGAGAAGGGAGACAGTATCGTAAGGAGCATACAGGGGTTTGACATGAGCAACATACCAAATCTATCACTCTACAACAGGCAGACTACGGAAATGACAAACCTTGCGTCAAGCATGTGAAAACACAGCATGTTTGGTTTGCTGTTGTGTGTTTTGTACAAAAGGAATGGTTTTATCACAGCAGACCATTGCTACCCACTAATCTCCCCGGTAAATGTCACTATTTTTTAAATACGGTCCCCTGGAAAAGATGCACCACACGGAGAAGTGTGGAGAGTCTTCTGACTCTACTGAATGTGCATGTGCTGTGAGGTTTTCTGAACAGAATTAACTCGAAAGACCATTTATACTACTTTTTTTTTGTTTTTTTTCTAGATGGGTCACTTGATTTGCATTTGCATTTCAGCATGTATATATTTTAATGTTGGCCTGTTTATATTTACAAGTTTGGCTGACATTATCATTCTTGAGTTGATTTATCAAAGAAACACTGGAACTTAATTGCAATCTGCCAAATATTCCTTAATGCAATTTGATTTGCGCATACAGCTGGTTTCTTACGTGTGCTGCCCCCCCCACCCCGAGCTAACGCCTATACTCTCATCTGACTTATTATCACATCACTGCTCAGGAAGTGACTGTATTCGAGACCTGTGCCTCTGGAATCATTATCCAAAGACGGTAACTAAACAGAAGGAGATTATAGTCGCTGACTAAATTCTTAGTTTTCGAGAGGCATATTTACTGAAGCACACAGCTGAATATAATCAGGTTATCTCCTCTCAAATAAACACTCTGCCTCTTCTCTCTGACACTCTCTGATCCATAATCCATCCTCCAGTTACATACTGCCATCTTGCAGACACAGAGAGTGATGGAGAAGATTGTGATCACTGTAATTTACTGCCATCTCGCCAGTGTCTGCCAATGGTAAAGGGCAATATAACACAATTAAATACTTGATTATTAATCCTACGAACCCGGACTGTCCCCTTCAGTGTTTATGAGCTAAAATAATTGAATAGCAAATGTGGAAAAATATATATATATATATATATATGTATCTACGAATATTGACACTGAAATGAGCTTCATGTTGTAGGAGGGCTACCATTTTTAGAAGCAGAGAGCAAATCCCAAGCAAAGTGGTGTTTTCAACTGTTTGGGTAATGACAAATAAACCGTGCAAGGTGCAGTTTAGTGTGTTTACTAAAACACACTAAAATGCAATTTAAACAAGGCAGCACATTTGAAAGCTGAAATTAAATGTGAAATTCCTGTATGACAAAAACCTTTAAAAAAAAAAAAAAACAACCAAACAAACAAACAAAAAAAACACTCCCCTGACTTTTTATTGCAACATAACAATTTTGGAGAGAAGCAGACAGCAAAAAAAGGACAAAAAAACAAACAAAAAAAAACAAGCGCATACAAGCAAACAAGCTAAAGCATAAGCCAAACCTTTTTTTTTTTTAAATAAAAAAAAAGTACATTCAGAGTCACTTCTCTGATGTTGGATGTTGCAAGGCTGAGGCACAGCGGGGTACAAACGCAGCCACAACTCACCTCGAACTTTGCCTTTTGAAGCCATCACTGGAATCCCCAAGTAGACAAGAGGGGTTGGATGGACAGCAAGAGAGGCAGACGCCAGAAAAAAAAAAAGAAAAAAAAAAAGAAGAAGAAAAAAACAGAGAGGAGAAAAGGACAAAGACAGAAGACAGAGCAGCCGATTAGATAAGTGTAGGAAGAACAGTGTGCCTGTGTCTGTCGTACGTATGGAGAAACAGCATAGTCTTTATCTCGAATGTCAATCACTGGTTGCTCAAACACCCCGATCGTTCAACCCTGAAAGAGATTGTCCCGATTTGGCTCATCAGCAAATTGAGACCTCACGGCGTCGCACCTTTTAATTAGTCGCGTCACATCATCTGGATCAGGCAAAGGGAGCTTGTTGCTTTCTAATGAGCTCGCAAGACCCGTAAGGATATGGACATACTGTAGATATCATGTGGTTGATTAGTGAATGCTGCGCTTCATTTGATTTCTTGCCGGAAATGACAAGACTACAGTAGCTGGTGCCTATACGCAGTCTGTTTTTTTTTGTTTTTTTTTGTGGACGTACAGGAAGTAATGATTTGTGTGTATGTGAGAGCCTACAGTCACGCATGCACACACTGGTGCACTATCATATTAGGCTGTGAATGACAGCACTGTAATCAGTGAGGAGACGCACAGACAGGAGTGTCGTCTAACAGAGAATATGCCCCGATATGGGAGGGTTCAGTGAGCAGCTTGCTGAAAACCATACAGGGTAATATATATATATATATATATATATATATGTATTTATATACACAGCCACATCTAAAAAGCAAAGGCGGAACACACAACACAGAGGACCTGACCAGCAACAACGCGAGCATCACCAGCCGAGCCGGATAAACAACACAGATTGTCTACGAGTGTGTGCGTGTGTCTGTGTGTTTGCGCGTGTATCCCGAGGGAATGACTCCCATGCTTCACACACACTGCTTTGCCAAATTGATGGATCTATTGGAATGCCTCTAGTGAGCCTGAAATGAGAGAAGAAGAACAAAGAGAATCTAACTGCAGGTGCGGAGTCTGCTGGTTATAAAAAAATATTGTGCTTTCCTTTCGATTACAGATTTATCAATCATTCCCCCTGTAGCCCGCACAATGGATGCAGAATTTTTTCCATTGTGGCCTATCAACATATGCTGAAAAATGGATTTCAAGTCACTGTCCGGTTAAGTTAACCTGAAAACAGGAGTAGAGATAGAAACCGGCAGCTAAACAGTACGACCACTGCGTCCACTCTCACGTACATATTGTCTGTTTATACATTTGAGTGCCATTAAATCCTGATAGGCAATTTTCACTGGCTGATGGAGATGATTATGTTTTCTTTAGTACAATTTCACAGCTTGCCAAGGTGCAAGAAAGACAGAGTGAAGTGAGAATACCAAAGAGAGAAACTGGTAATCTGTTGTGATCCGTAGTGAATCTTTTAAACTCAATTTGCACGCATTTCTTCGTCCGCAACGTCGTCGTATCTTCAGCGGCACACCACACGAGGACAAGAAGCAAGAACGATCACGTGTGAGAAAAAAAAACTACACTACTCCTCTCTTACACGTGTGCACAAATGCACTCATACATGGCAGCCTGGTGGACATTTCACACCTTGCTGCTGTGTCACTGGTTATATGAGGGAGAAGGACCGGCAGAAAACCCCACCCCCAAAAAAAAACCAGGGCAGCGAGTGTCACGTCTCTGCCAACACTGCTTTCTGCATGAGACTGATGGCTTTGTGAAATATTCCCTAAGCAAAGTCTGACCCCGCTCTATTCCTGCCTTTCATCCCCGCTGTCAAGGTATGAGTTTCCTGTCACAACTGTGACTCTGTGATCTCTCCCAGTCAAAACCCATGGAGAGAAAAAAAAAAAAAACAAGAAGAAAGACAGATCCTGGAGACAAAAAGATGAAGAAAAAACATATATGTTTTTACAGCAACATATGTTATATATTACAGCTACAGAGAGAGAGAGAGAGAGAATGATCCGATCAATTACATAATGGCCACCTTTGCCAATACTCCTAATTGGACAGAATACAATAAAATAATGGGATCAAATCAGTTTCTTTTATTCAGTGCTACATCTTAACCCAACACTCGCTCCTGGGATTCCCCCCTCTCTGTTCTGCTGCTGCCGGCTGTGTAACCAGGCAGTCGTCTGAAAGAATCGAATATTAGTTGCTGTGCGTCGGAATTTGTCTGCCCCCTCGTGGTTAAAAAAAAACCCACTTCGTGCAGCTTTAACTTCATTTCATGGTGTCTTGAGTGTGCAGATAGAGAATGTTACATAGTTCTTTGACTTAACCCCTTAACCAGGATTTAACCCCGCCCCCTACCCCACTCCCCCGCCCCGCTGCGCCAGGACCACCCAGAATACCCATCTGTCGTCGCTCCGCACGGTACCGCAACCCCCAAAAAAAAAAAAAAAAAAAAAGAAGAAGAAAAAAAAAGAAACCCTGTGATCTGAAGGTGAAAGCCCACTGACATTTACAGGAGATAACTGAGTGTCAGCAGCTGAATGAAGTGTGATCTGTCCTGCGGGATGAAAATAGACCCAGTTTGCATCAAAGAAACTTAGGAAGACTCTCACCTGCAGAAACTTCCTGCATACATTTTATATTAATGAACTAATCCTCACAATACCTAGTGATTAATACCTTACATTTTAGATAAACATTCATAGTTTTGCGTTTTATTTCATGAAGAGAAACAATTGTGACATGAACATAAAGAAGCATGTAAACCACTTTTCTTTTTTTTTTTGCCCAGGTATTCATCTGAAACGATGCCCGGAGCTGTTGGTCTAAAAAGCGCGTGACCGTACGGCGGTTGAAAAGAAAAGCTCTGAGCTGCGAGCAGGTTGTTCTCCGTCTCTGTAACCGTCAGCGGGGAGTCGTCATAAATAAACTGTTATGGTTCATACACACACTGCCTACTGTGACACACACTCCCTTGGGGGGTATAAGTCTCCTGAGAGGATATGTGTTGTGTGTTGCAACATCCTTCCTGTTCGCCTCTTCATTTCCGCCTCCGTTCTCCTCCCTTCAACTTGTGCTCATTGAGGAGTTCGTCTCACCTGCCTTTTTTTCTTTTCTTCTCCGCCTCGTTAACCCTTTCCTTACCTCCGTCTTTCTCTCTCCCCCTTCTGTATTTCCTTCGCCCCCTCGGGCTAGTCTCTTTCACAGTGGCAGATATATTCAGCGTCTGACATGCAGTGAAAAGCCTATGGAGATCGATGTGTGCAGCGTGGCGCTCTGAGCTGTCACACGGCATGATGGAGAGTTTAGCTTATCTTTCGTACAGCAGCAGCTGTTTTGCCGTATGTTAGATGTACTCCAGGCCTTTGGAATCCCACCAATATTCCACCGGTGAGCAGATTGCTGTAAAACCTTAACACACTCTTTGTCACCTTATGACTTGGCTGTACATGGAGCCATCAATCCACACATACACTCACGAGCATGAAAACATTCAGCGGAAATGTGACACATACTCATTGCGATCCCAACACACATTTGTGACCGTTTTTGATTTCAAGACAATCATCGGCATAAAAATAGCTCTCAATGAACACAAGCAAATGTATTTAAATCTTATTTGATTTGGCAGCAAATGTATTTAAATCTTATTTGATTTAGCACAGCTTTTGCTAAGGGCCGCAATTCATCTCAGGGTAATAAAGGAGATGGTAAACAGTGTTAATAGATGGAATCAAGCTTACTTAACTCAGCTTATTGCCACCATACTGCCTGCTTTATTAGATCTGTCTACCACGTCCTTGTTTTCTCACATTACAGGGAGGCACACATCTGTTGGTGTTGTCATTTAATCTAGCATATTTGATTCCACTTCCTTAACGCAATTATACGTACATACCCTGTCCATGGTAGAATCATCTGCTCATAACGCCTGAGCGCCCATAAAACATGCACAGGCGGACGCGCACACACACGAGCTCGCATTGCACACGCGCTGATCACACATGCACGCGCTTGGGTAACATTTGTTTCACCTCCCCACCCACCCCCTGAAGATGGTCTACAGCAGTGTTTATGGTTTCATAGGGAACGCCTTGCAGATTTCTCTGTCACGCTGAAGATAACCAAATCTGATGAATCACCATCACCAGACCGTGTGTGAATGGCACCAGGCAATCTGGCTCCCCGAGGCTGTTCAACAGCACAGCGCACTTTTGAACGTTCACGATCAATAGTTAAAAAAGAAAAAAGAAGAAAAAATCTACTACATACTGTTAACAACATGCAGGCATTGTAAGAGAGCAACCTGTTGTTAATTAAATGTTATGTGGTAGGGATTTAGGGATTTTGAGAGGTTGCTTTATTTCGATGGAGGTCAAGAACTGAGAATATTTAAAGTAATTATGAGAAAACTGGATGAAAGTCTGGGAATGTTTAACATGATCCCACATAATCATGATTCTCACCGCTTTGTAACACCTGCGTTGTGATGAGGTGACCGTGCGGGGAATGGACTGGAGGCAATATGTAAAGATCGCGACTCAAGGGATCCGCAGTTTACTGGCGACTGCTGATGGCCTTCAGCCAAACATGCGGTGAACACAAAAAGGGGGCGCCTGATGGATCACCGCTACTTTGGGCACTTGTTTATATGTTGGTGTAGATCAACTGAAACGCAGCTGACCCAGCTTATTTGCGAGCGTGTTTACTACAATTTGAGTGAAGCATCACAATGTTGGTGTCCCATAATAAACACCTATTAGCTTTAAGTGATTTCCTTGCAAGTCAGTTAATGCACATAATGACTTTTCTAATATCTCAATGTTTCTGAAGTAGATGTGATGGAAAATGTCCAGTCAGTGATAAATGATGATGTGTCCAGCATACGTCTGAAAACGATGGAAAAAAGGCATTATCACACATCACACACTTCCCAAAGACCATTAATCAGCTGAACCACCTGAAAAGTTTAACCACTCATAGCCTTAAGCTCATTGTTGCTATAGTTATTTGGCAAT